CCTTAAACCAACAGTACAGAGCCTCAGCCTTGCAGCAAAATAACTTGTCGCCACAAGAAGTAAAAGGCGGGCTCGGGGCAGGGTCGGAGCGTCGGAAGGTTTTCGAATTTTTGGGCCCATCTCAAATCCGTATGTCCCAAAAAACGAAACAAGCTTTGGCCGTGATTGCAGTTGGATACACTTTTTGGAGTCCTCGTACGAGTTTGCCCTCAGTGAGGGCACTTCAGCAGGACGCAGAACACGGGGAGCAGGACTGTCGGACTCTCAAAAAAAGAACAAAAAAAAAAAAAAGCGTTTGGCCGTGATTGCAGTTGGATACACTTTTTGGAGTACTCGTGCGAGTTTGCCCTCAGAGAGGGCACTTCAGCAGAACGTAGAACACGGGGAGCAGGACTGTCGAACTCTCAATAAAAGAACCCAAAAAAAAAAAGCCAACAACGCTTTGGCTGTGAAAGTGGTTGGATGCATTTCTACGTCGCTAGTGTGAGTATGCCCTCAGCGAGGGCGTTTTGAGCAAGAGGAATATGCGCTGCCTTTCTGGCAGGGCCAGGAAGAAAAAAACAACACAGGAAAAAAAGGAAAAACAGCAACGTTTCCCTCTCCCAGTAATAGTGGTCAGATGCATTCAGGAAAGTGATAATTTGCGTACGACCTCCATGACGTCCTTTCACAACATCATTGCTCTCTGGCATGTTTGTTCCTTTCTTTTCTTTTCTTTTCTTTTTTCCCTTCAGGCAGGCCGCCGGCACCAGTGCCACTTCCGAAATTCCCACTGCAGGTACCCTCACGCAGAAGGCTCAGAAAATAGTGGCGCGCAGTGGGCAGGTAGGTTCGGGAATTTAGGTGCGGGTGTACTGGTGGTTTAAAAGACCGAGCTTACCGGCGAGGGCGAAGCTGTCTGTCGAAAGGAGGGACCGAAGTCCAGGTGGGAGGAGCAGGCTGGGAAGTTTCCTTAGCTAGTCGTTGCCACTCGTCATGGCCATAGATAAGCAGTGCGGAGGCTTGTAAGGCTGCTCGTGAAATCCACTGTGTCATTGCGGTCACATTCTTTGAAAGTGACCTCATGAAATCCACCGTGTGTCATCGCGGTCACATTCTTTGAAAGTGACCTTGTACTGCATTGGCTTATTACCCTACTTGCGGTACGTGATGACAAGATCGATCTCCTGATGACCGTCCATCGAAGGAGGATCTTGCGATCATCGGTCCTGAAGTCGTCGCTCTTGGCTGGTGTATATGTAGCCAGCTTGGAGGCGTGAAAAACCAGGTGGACCGGTAGATGCAGTGGAACGTCGATCACGAATAATGGGCCATCGTGCTCATGCCAGCGGCTGATGTGACGGTCCAAGGTCCAAACCACTTGGGGAGTAGCTTGAGTGAAACGTTTTGTTCGAGGGCAAACTCTTCAATGGAGACCCAAACAAGGTCGCCGGCGCGGATAGGACATGGCACGCGGCGCCTATTGGCTTGTTGCTGCATGTGGACTTAAGCCTTGTGCATGTTCCCATAGGCTTGAGCCAGCAAGTCCCGGTACTTCCGAACGGAGGCAGGAGAGCAAGGGGCGTCAATGTCAGCAGTCTGCGGAAATAAAAGTCCGGCGAAGATACGGCCTTTCCGGCCACCGTGGTGCAACTCGAATGGAGTCACGCTAATCGCCAGATGCAATGAAGTGTTGTCGGCGAACTCGATGTCGGGGAGGCGGTCAACCCAATCCCTTTGGTCCGGACGGATGAGCGTACAGAGCATCATTTGAGCGGTTTGAAGGGCCCGCTCCGTTTGCCCTTTCGTTTGTGGATGTCGAGCCACACTCGATTTCATCTCGGTGTCGGACTCCTTCATGAGAGAAGTCCAAAATGCCAACATAAAGCGAGTGTCGAGGTTGCTAACGATGTCTTCTAGAATGTCGTGGCTGCAGATCCAGCCGGTGTGCAAGCGTCGCGCGAGATCGGGAGCCGTGGCATCATACTTGCGAGGAATAAATCGCGCGTACTTACTCAAACGGTCAACGACCATGAGGACGTCGCCGTGCCCAAAACGATCGTGTGGGAATGGGCCGGTGACATCCATAGCCATGGAGAGGTCGGGTTCCGAAGGGATAGGCAATGGGCGCAACTCGCCATAGGTGTTGCAGATCAAGACGAAAGCGAGAAGCAATGCCGTCTTCAATTTTTGAAACGGACTCCGGACTTCGTCGGTGAAATGGAAGGGCACCTTTGGAGACTGTAATTTGGACAAAGGTGCAGCAATTTGTTCATATCTGTCGATGAATCATTGATAATACGCAGCCCATGAAAGAACGAACTTGCGAAGTGCTGGTCGGTTCCGGCCAATCTTGGATGGCCTAGATCTTGTCCGCGAGCGGACAGATGCCTTGCGGAATCACAAAGTGGCGCAAGTACTCGAGCTCTTGTTCCACGAATTCACACTTGGCTCGATTCGCCTTGTACTTGGTCGTACGTAACCTATCCAGGACGGTGCGTAGATGCGCGAGGTGCTCGTCCAAAGTCCGACTATACACCAAGATGTCGTCGAGGTAGATGAGTATGAACCGGTCCAACATGTCGCGGAATTCCGTCGTCATTGCCACTTGAAAGGTGGCCAGGGCATTCGTGAGGCCGCATTACGACCACTCAAAGTGCCCGTATCTTGTTTTGAATGTGGTCTTGTACCGATCCTATGGATGGATCTCAATTTGGTGGTATCCCGACTTGAAGTCCAACTTGGAGAAGTACGTGGCGCTACCCAAACGTTCGAGAAGATCATCGATTCGCGGGAGCGGGCCAACATTCTTAACGGCTTGTGCATTAAGTTTGCGGTTGTCAAGGCATAGCCGCAGTTCCTTGTTCTTCTTCCGGACAAAGAGAACCGGTGCACCATAGGGCGAGCAGCTAGGGCGAATCCAACCCTTGGCAATGAGGTCGTCGAGTTGCGTTTGAAGCACTTTGCGTTCCTCCTCGCTCATGCGGTAAATACATTCGCGCGGAGGTATGGCCCCGTCTTCGAGGATGATATTGCGACAAATTGGCCGATCCAGTACGATTCCGGTAGGAGCTTCGAAGACGTCCACGAAGA